TAACGATATCGATGAAATTTTTAATAGTGAGAGTGATATTACTTGAAATACGTTGAATTTTCGATAATTAATGGAAATGTGTTTGATGATGTTTGAATGCCTCAATTAATGAAATTAATTGAATTTCATGAATGGGTGGATATTATTCGAGATACGTTGATGTCCGAATTGTAAAATTAATATGTTGATGATATTTTTACGATGTTTTATAAAAGATTTTTTAAAATTTTAATATTAATATTTTTCTCTCTTCCTTTGTTATCTATCTTTAGATTTTAATTAAATTCTTTAAAGAATGCAATGAGAAATGCGGTAATAAAATTGTTTAGATTTTTAAAATTTTTTAAACGCGAATAAATTTGTTACATAAAAATTACGAATTTTGTACTAAACAATTTTTTTCTCTTAATTCGTAATTTAATGTAAAATATTTTTTGCATTTTCTTTATAGTTTTCACTCTCTATGTAGTTTTACTTTCACAATTGTCTTTGAAGTAAATATAAAAATCGTAAAGTTAACATAATTGAAAATTGATTAAATTATGCATTTTTAATCGTTCGACTGATTTCTATTTTTCGATATCGCGTGTCTTTGAGAATTGGCATCATAAATAAGTTGTGAACAAGTTGTAAACAATAAAAAGTAATTTTGTTTCGCTCTGCTTCATTTTGATATTTCTTCCGTTCTCCGTTCTTCCCGTTTGTAAACGGTGTCTGGTTCTACATTGAAAAGTTACATTTCCACCTACAATCATTAAATAAATAAATTCGAAATTTATATAACTCGTTAATAAATTTACTCTTCTTATCTAACACGTTTTCAGATCGTTGATGATAAATATAAAGAGATAGCAACGTTCGTTAAAACAATCAATATTTATAAACTTTTCCAATACTTTTCACGAATGAAAATCTCTTACTTATATAAACTTGATGTAATTATATAAATATTGGTGCGATATATCTTTTTCAAAAATTCAAAAATATTAAAATGGGGGACAATCAAAGATTTAAATTTAAATTTAAGGGAAACAAACAGGAGGAAAAAAGTTGCTAGCGCTCGACAAGTGAAAAATTACAATCATCGATAAAAGTATGTTTTCGACATCTTGGAAAACTTGGTGGAATATTCGTTGTTCGCGGCAACAGCGACACAGCTAATTTCATTACTAAATTAACGTTTCCAGGAAACGAAATTGTTTCATTTCAGCTCTTTTCTCATTTTCCAGTCAAACCCCTTTTTCCAATTACTCGAGACAGAGGAAATTTTTCATGCAAAATTCCAAGCTGTTGCTTGCAATTGACATAACAATTTATTTTGAAAATTCGTAATTCTAAGATTAAACTTTTTATTTTTCTTCTTCGTAATAATAAATACAAATAAATCGGTAATAACATATATTAATAAATGATGAATAATGAATGATTCGAAATATCATATTATTTATTATATGAAAAGAAATTAAATCGCGTTTAAAAAATAATCTATCTTTTTTATGAAGTATGCGCACGTTTGGCACATTCCAGTATAAATTGCGTGTACGCAAATAATTAGCAGAAATCGATGACGATGTGAGGATACTATCCTATAAAAAAAGTAATGAACAGGGAAAATTTTATTTTTGGTAAGCATTCATTTCAATTTGCGAAACAAGAAATTTCGCAATAAAGGAGAAAGGAAATAAAATATTAAATTTTCTCTTTTCTTTTCATTTATAATTATACATGCTCACCTATTTTCTCGCCTATTTGTTCTTTATCTTTTCCATCTTGATTCGACGATTTTTTCATTCTACTCATTCATCTTTGAAATTCCTCATGAATTTTTTTTTATATGAATACAAAATTTCTTTACTTTCTTAAATCCTTTATCATTCACAATTTTTATTACATCGTTCTATTCACTCGTATCGACAACGAGCCAAACTAAAATAATAAAATAATAAAAATTTTAAAAAATCATCGATCCATTGAACAAATCAATAAAATTATAGTCACGCAATAGTAAACAATGATACACGCGCAAATAACTAGGTGAAAAGAGAAAGAAGATAAATAGAATCGTCAATAAGAATTGGAGTATAGGCATTCGCACACTATTTAAAGTGTCATTGACTCGATGATGAAATCACGATTTTGTGATATTGCTGACACACGCGTTGTCGAATGCGCTCGGTTATTTCACTTTGGCGGCGTCGAGCGCACGGGTCATTGCCGAGAACAAACTTTGCCGCGAACGCCTCGTGCTTGTTTCACCTCGGATTTTTCCATCGAATGGAAACGACTCGACGAGGAGAGAATCTTTGAGAACGTGAGTTGTAACCTTTGAGCTTACGTTTCGCACGAAGAATCGTTAAGAATTGAAACGTGAACGAAAAGTGGAACTTGAGACGAATGGATAGATTTATTTCGATTCTTTTTTCTTTCTTTTTTTTTTAAGTTGAATGTTTATTTTTACTTTGGAATAAGACAAATTCATCATTTTCATCGATAATTCTTTTTAATTTTTTTACTTATCGAAACTGTATAAAATTAAATAGCACAAACTTTGTTTCGATCAGGACAAATATATTTTGTCTGTCTTGTTGTTAAATTTAAAACCGCGAAGATTTGGATTTGAATATTTTACGAACGAATCTATTCTAATGATAAATTTATCCGATGCGTGTAAAATTTATAAAATCTCATAAGTTTCAACTTGCACCGATCCATCCTCGAGGATCGATCACACTCGACTATTCGAACTTTCTGACATCGTTTCCTTCCTCTCTTCCCATTCAGCTTATCGCCAATTTCTCATCATGGACGCGAAATGCAAGAAGCATTTGGAGGATGTGCCGATATTGGACGGCCATTGCCGCGTGAACTTAACTTCGAAACTCGGTACTGGTTCTTCCATATCTTCCATATCCGCGTCTTCCAACGAATATTTCAATTTTTACACGTATTTAATTCCAGACGATTCGACGGAGCACATCGAAGCGTCGAGAGCAGGCCTCGATCATTGGAAAAGCAATAAATATTACAGGGTAATACAGTTGATGCAGAGCCTGCTCATCGTACTGGTCTTGTGTTTCGCCGCCTTTTTAATATACTTGAGCGTGTCGGGTAATGCAGAAAATATTCACCAAACGTCTCACCCCTACAAACTTAAACTTTTAAAAAACTTACAAATGGAATGAAAAATATATCGTCCATAGATCGCACATTTCTCAACCTGGACGGAGCCAATCAACGAAGACATCTTCCGATCAACGAGTCCTCCTCAGAGCCTCGAGAGACGAATTTTCGAGATGAACAATTCCGCAAAGACGAGAGAAAACACGATCGTCTCAGCCTCGAGGAGCTGAGAACGATATTACTCTCAACGATGGATCGTCGAAAGCGGCGACATCTCGACGCGAATCTCTGTAAACAGAGCATGGAGCACTGCAAGATCGTGATGGATTCCATGACGAAGATCGTGAACACCGTGAACAACAGTATGCCCCATCTTCTCGAGTTTCTGAAGAATTTCTCCACGGATAAAGACACGCCGAAATCGAAGCTCGTCGAGTTGGTCGAGTGTCTGCAATGCAAGAACGACTCGATCACGTTCATAGACGAGACAGGGCCCGACAATTTGATGAACGAGGCGCGCACGATGCACGAGAATCGCGATCAGATCGAGAGTAACGTGGACACGGTTTGCAATTTGTTGGACGAGCCGAA